GTATGTATGTATGTATGTACGTGTTTTGGGTATATGTAGGCAAAACGAGGCTCTTACCATATAGTGACAACTCGCGTCCTGTCAGTTCTCAAACTCCGGACCCTAAGCCCGAACTAGATTCAAGTGTCCAGGCCCCATGCGGAGTGATCCTCAAGGGTGCAACACTAAATTCATGGTCGCTTAGGGTATCCCTGAGGACCCTATGAACCTACATGGCAAATGGTTGCAAGCCCGGAGTTTTAAAATATGGTTTCGGGGATTTCGTGAACCGAGGCGATCGGAGTCCTTTCTCACCTATGTGCGGTACCTGATTCGTGCCTTGGCGGCATGACGGATTTAATAGTTTAGAGCTTTTGGGGTTTGGGGCAAGGTTTACGGTAGGCCTTGTAAACCTTATAAACTATGGTCTATAGGGTCAGCAAAGTGCAGCATTTCTTGCAATAAGTACTCTCGGATCGGGGTCAAGCTCCTTCACATGTCGGAGACCTCGGAAGGGTTGTAAAATTAGGTTTGGCACATGATGGCACATGGATGCTCTGCGAGAGCGATGGGGTCTACGTGGAAGATAACAGAGGGGCTCTGGGTGGACATTGTCGTGGTTGGCCCATGGACGCTCTGCGAGAGCGGATGGAGCCTGGGTGTACATTGTCATGACTGGCCAAACTTCAATGATGAGGACGCGTGCGATTTCGAGGCTGCAGGAGCCGCTTGTCCTCTAAGGCGCAGGTTGGGACGAACCTGTCTAAGTGCATCGTAACGAAACCCTATCCTTATGGAATCTTGAAACTTGGCTTCTCGAGGAAAAGACTGGGACATGGTTTGGACGCCGAAGGCGCGGATTCTCTTTCAGCCGTTTGACTGTGCAGGGAGCCGAGATAAGGATGCTCGAAGTCTTTTGAAAAATATTTGAAAATAGTTTGAAAAAGAATAAGGGAAGAAACTCCTTTTCTATTTTTGTGATAGGCATAGCGAGCTTCGAAGGTTTAGGGTTTAGGGTTTACAGAGATTGCAGCAATGCCCCCCCCTCCCCCCCTCGCCCTTCATAAACGAGTTTGCGGTGGGCCTCCTTGCTCTGCAGGTCAGAGCCAGGGGTTGAAGCTTGGGTATCAGGCTAGGGAGTTTCAGGAGACTTGACGCTGCTTGGACTGGCCCTGATCCTGGCGACTCGCGGGGCTCTGTGTCGGAATGTGTTCTTTTTTCGGCATCTTGCTTGGTGCATGGGTGTACGACCCAGTTCAAGCAAAGCTTCAAGGTTTTGGGTTCAGGGCCTATGTAGGGTTTTGCGGGAGTTAAAGCCTAGGTCACTGTCACGCCACTTCAGGGCACAGGCGGCCAAGCCCTGGTTCAAGCCGCGACAATTTTCCGTCGCCCCGAGAACCCAGGCAGCCCCGAACTCGAAGCTCAAACTCATCCTCCACAGAGACGACCCAGCTCGTTAAGCGGATTGATAGACAGTTATGTACGTCATCCAATGAACGAAGTACAGGTCAGAACCCTGCGACTTGTCAGGCATCGCTACTCGTCATCCCCCAACTATCCATCTAAACCCTGTAGCCTGTATCTCTAGATCTAGCAACGACATAGCAGGCCCTCGTCGAAGCGGCCGCTTGGCGAAGAGAGAAGCCGACCCTCACCAAACTCCATGTCCGTTTTCGGACGGGAACTTACCACTCGGGGTCTTGGTTGGAGTCCCGTTCCCATTCAAGACAACCCTAGGGGCTCACTTATGTACATAGTGTGTTAATGTTAATGTTTGTTTTGGCTGGTGGACTTTGTTTGTTTTTCTTAGTGTCTCTTCTTTCTTCATATTACACATTGACTCAACGAGTGTTCATGGCAACAACAAATATGATTATTAGTACAACTCTTATCAGTACTGTTGGTTTTCTTTCTACTGGTATGATATTAAATCTGTTTCATAAGGCATTGCATGGGGACAACTGCAGCTCTCGGGGTCATCCCTACTGCCCTACGCCCTCTAAATTCCGACAGCCCCTAAGCCGGGAACCCTAAACCCTACAACCGTGAACCCTGCAATGCGGGCTCGTCCTAGCTAGGTGGGAGGCAAAAAAAGCTTAGAATAAGCCAACAGTGCCCCAAACCGACATGTTCAGGTTCGTCGGTATCGGTAGCTATGAATGGCGGAACAGTGAGAACTTGCTTGCATTAAACTTTAAATTCTTATCGCCGAACCTTTTGAGTATCGTTTAAGGAGGACCTTGCTGCTGTATATAGTATAAAGGCTTAACAAGTGTTTAAGGCTTTCTGCTTAGGCTGCCCGTATAGTTGCGTAAATCAACACTTTAAGTCTTAGTCGTAGTTACTAAGTCAAAAAACAATAACGAACAATCACTCATATGCGCACATACATATACACAGTTATAAACATGTACATATACGTAAACATATAAATATATTTACATTTACCTTTACATACGTACATACTTACATACTTACTTACTTACAAACGCACATACGCATCGAAAGAGAGTGGGCGACATTAGCATGTCCTTACGACGGCAACGTGGATGGAGGTACTTTGTTGCAACAGCTGCTTTGGCCCGTTGATTCGCGAGAGTCCATACCATTCAAGCCCTTGCCGTCAAGGAAACGCATTCGGGGTTTCATGCATTGACGTACGATTGGAGGGCACTGCTGTTTGGACATCCTTCTATAATATAAAGCATCATCCCGCCCGAGATGTAGGATCCATTTTGCAGTTCCCTTGGTCCCTTATTGTCCGACAGTCCCAAATCCCAAGCTACAGCAGAGCCAGAAACTGCCGAAAGAGCTGTAGGGCTGATCATGGTTGCTCGTTTTTTGAGATCTTAATTTTGCGGTAGGAATCATTAGTAATGATATCAAGCCAGGGCCGAACAACCCCTGAACATAGGCTTTTTGTGAAGGCCCCGGCCCTTTTATGCAAACGAACTTCCGGCTTTCGTCATATGTACAATGTAGTGCCTACCTTAACGCCCCAAAAGCTACTGTACCTTTTCAGGATTTACATTGGGAGGAAATTGTCGTACAAGGTGGGCTTTATAAGGTCCACGTAGTCGAAAATCACATGGATTCCTATACGAGAAAGCTGAGAAAGCTCTGGTGCATTCCGGACACTTGGAGGAACTTCTGGGCATACTAGTTATAGGGATCCAGTATAGCCTTGATTAAGAAATTTCCCGTACATCGTAGCAGTAATTCAGAAAAAAGGAGCCCTGCGCGAGCATGGTTGGAGTCTCTGTGTACGTGTCTGAATAGAATCCGGCCGACTCCGAAGACACAACAGCATCAAAAGCCTTGCCGATACTGTCCAATGTAGGACAATTGAGGGTTTGGAGTAGGGTTAGTGTGGGGTACTTCGGGCTTTAGGTTTAGGGCTGCCGGCACGCCGGGGATAGGTTTACGTTTTGGGCCTTGTTCCGTGTTGAACCTAAAACGAGAGCACTGGGAGTTTGAACCCCAATCTTTATTAACATTTGACTAGTAAGTACATTTTACTTATCGGTGTTGTTATTGGGTATTCAAACCAGGGGCTTGAAAGCTACAACACAGAGCCGACATTCTAAGCAAGCACCTGCTTGGACATTGGTTTGACCCAATGGTTTGTGTGTGTAGTAGTATTTGATCTTGTGGGACTGAATAAGAGGGCTGTCATCAGAACGGAGTTGGACTAATGTTGTGTCACCTGATGTTGTCTGGAGAGTAGTTCAATTGTCGTTTTTGAGGAGCCACCCGTAGTTCAACCCGATAAGAGACAGCCCTGCACATCCAGGCCAAGTGCATGGCCCACTTCCAGCAGGACGACCGGCGCGCCTGGCGAGCGCTCGCGTACCGCATGGAGAGGCCGCCACACTGAGCTGCCCCTTATCGAGGGAATTCTACGTGAGGGCTTTGAACTGGTTTTAAATGACAGGCCTACTAGCCCAACCCAGCAATCTTTTGTCTTGCTCTTTCCTGTAGGGACCTTGCATTCATGAAGCCAGAAAAAGCAGCTTCAAGCCTCAACTTTAGTAGCTCTTTGCATGACAGGGAGCTGCCGGTCATGCTCCCGGGGGCCTTGACCGTCGCTGGACTGCATGCATTGTAGCAGCCCGTCCGGGAACCATCGTGGAAATCACATTTTCATATGGCTCGAAAGAACCCTGCTTGCCAAGCTCCCTGTCCTACCTGCGGGGCTTCAGGCTTTACAACCGGTTTCGGGGGAGGCTGCATAGGCAGAGATATTTCAGGGTTTTTGGTCGGGTGAAAAGGTGTTGCTCGTGTTGTGCATTCTGCAGGGTGGGCTGATCAGCAACGCTTCAAGCCTCTAATTGCTTGAGCTACCCCTGATGACACCCAGCTGGGTTCCCAACTTTGATTACACTCTTGATACGGCACCCTGTAGTTTAGGAACCCCAAAAGAGACCTTAAAATTCTGGATAGCCACTTCTATGACTTGGGATTTTTTATGTCAACTTCCTAAAAAATGGAGCCCTGAGGCCCTAGGCCCTGCACTCTTCCGCAAACCCCGGAACCCCCAGACTCTTAGAGTCCCAGGGATTCCTAACCCTATGCTTCCAGGGTTTAGGGTTTAAGGTTTACTCTTAGAGTCCCAGCGATTCCTAACCATTATAGTTCGGGCTTAGGCCCATTAAGGACCCAAGAGTAAGGTCCCTGGAAGCATACGGTAACTTTGAGCCATTCCAAGCTAGATGGGGTCCGATTCGGGGACTGGGGCGGGCTTTTTTTTCTCCGCCTTCCATGTTCAGAGGGCATAGACATAGATCTGGTTGTGGAACTTCCGCAGCTTTGTTATACCTTCTAAGTGCGTATGGTTGTGGTGATGTTCTTGTTGACAGGCGGATGATGTCAGAAGCTGAGGAAATCGCCGAGACCTTCGCAGCGGCCTCCGTCACGAATGAGGTCCAGCTGCATTCTCTGGGCTTGGAGAACTCGCCGTTTTTCAGATCCCAACAGTCCGGACAAGACAGCTCAGAACTGCTAACACCCCAAACCCTGAACCCCGAACCCAAAACCCTGAACCGATTAGAGTGGTTATAGGTTCAAATATCTCACGATTGCCTTGCCGAAGCCCCCGCAGCCAGTATGATCCTCTCGGAGCATGAGCCTTTGAGGTTCTGGGTTCTTGTCAAGGGGTATTCGAATTTCAGTGACCACTACATTGGTTTATAGATGTTTATAGTAGATAATATGAGTTCCCTACTTATTGTGGGAAGTCCGATCCTCCAACGCGAACCCAGGATTGGAAGCGGCGTGCGGGTTTTGGTAATGGCGTTGGGAAAGCATGCAGATAAGCCAGGCTCATAGGAACTGCATGAGAGAGATTAGGCACAAATGCCATTTCCTGCCACGTCCAGCTGTAAGCAGAGTAGTGGTAGAAACACGGGCTTCTTACTCGCCACCAGCATCACGCCTCCAAAGGTCAGTACTGCATGTTTTCATACAAGGACTTGCATCAGGACTGATTCTATGTTGATGTCGGCTTGCCTATTTATACCTTTCTTCATGTACGTGCACCCCTGTTGATGTTCTGCACTTTCCTTTCGATGTTCACATTGCCTTTCGATGCAAGCCTGATGTCGCTCGGTTGACATCAGCAATTCCATCGGCATGCATACTGCTAGCTGAAACAGGACAGGTAGTTAGCGTGTATGGTCTGCTCTTAGCAGCAGCTGTCAGACAGTTGTGATAACTAGTGATAACATTCGTTTTATCTCTCTCTCTCTCTCTCTCTGCTTTTCGCGCAGAACTATATCCTAGGCTTCTTGCGAAGTACCTGTGTAATCTGTCTCAATCTACGTGTGCATCTTCGTCAGCTTAATTTTCAGTACGGCCTTCGGTTTCCTCTATCCTGTCAAGGCCTCCTCACATAACTGTAAGATGTTCATCTTTCTCTAAACTTTTTAAAACCGTAAACCTAAGCCTAAGGCCTTTGGGGACTACAGTTCTGTAGTGAGGGCGTATACTCAGCGGCCCGAGCTCCTGAAAACAAGATCCTCAAGACAGGCGGCTTGAGTTTCTTCGGGTAATCTAAGACGCGGAGCACAGGAAGTCTTCAAGTCTCATCCGCAGGGCTAAGCCGCAATCGCTCTCATTGCAAGAGTATGAATCGGCTGCGCTCTGTGACAGGGCCTGCGTTTGCATGAGCGCAAGGCCTACAGGGCACCGTATCTGACCGTACATAGACCTTCTCCTTTACATCTCTTCGCATCGCTTCCGGCTCCTTGCAGCCCTTTGCCATTATGTCTAATCCTCCGCCGCCAGCGTGGGACAGAATGAACGTAACTCGGCCAGGTGGTTGTGTTTAGATCGTGTGCGTGTGTGTATATGTAGCTTGTGCCTTTCCTACACGCATCCGGTGTCCAATCTAGCAATCTAGCTGTGTCTAAACAGTCCAACTTCCTTCAGGTTCTGGACATCACGACTTGCAGTAGATGTTTTTTTGTTCATTCGTGTCTTGTACGTATGTATTCATGGGATTTTGTGCCTTGCACCTCTCGGTTTCTTGTTTTGGACGACTAGACTGACTAGCATGTTCGTGGTCGTTTTCGAAGCTGTGGGCAAAACATAGCCGTCGTAGAGATCCTGTGAGACTCCGGTAAGTATTATAGTGGAAAGTGGTTCAAGACTCCGAACGAACATGACATGACAGTTGGAAGATGCTATTCCGAGAGGCATAGCAGCAACACATTTCACCACAGCAGCTTGACCAGGAACTGCAACACGGAACTGCAGATCAACGTTTTAGGGCATGTTGTTTCCAACAAGAGGCGAACCAACAAACAAGGCTTCACGCTAAACCCCTGCGTTCTTTCGTTCACGAGTTTGGGCATTTTTAGTAGAAGTTTCTGGAAGGCATGCGGTAAAGGCGTGCTCTCCGCAAAGTGCTGCGTTCATTGGATACTACGTGCACTCGTCTCTCAATCCATTGAAGGGAAGTGGGCGGCCGAAGTCTCATTCAACCTAAGCCCTCGTAAACCCTATCGTGTAGGAACCTGGTGAAGAAGCCCGCGCCCTACAACCCCAACGTATTAAGATTCAGATAAAAAGAACCCTAGTAAAAACCCGGTGTTTCTTAATCAGTTTCCATCATTATCTGCTAAACCTTTGCCCCTACACCCCGAGAGCCTCGACTGCGTAAGCCTTAAACCCTAAACCCGAAGCCCTAAACCGCGGACTTGAAGGAAAGCAGAGGCGCTGAAGGCGAATCTAAATTTGAAAGCATTAGGGCGTTTTAAAGTTGAGAGTTCGGGGTGCTAGGGTTCCTATAGGGTTTCAATGTTGAGGGTTTAGGATGCTAGGGATTATATGAGGTTTTAATTTTGAAGGTTTCGGGCTTTAGATTTTTTAAGGTTTAGGGTTGCAGATTAGTTAACAATGAGCACTGACGGCCTGGAAGAGCTACCGAACCTTCATGCCCGAAACCGTCCTCAACCCCAGGAGCGATTCTACATACTATAAGTCTGCTTTACGCCTTTTTTTGGCACCTGAAGCCTCAAGACATTCAGTGTCAAGCCATAGATCCGAAGATGTTCAGCCTTACAGTCCGAGCTTGAAAGTGCACCCAGGCCTCTGGCGAATCTTTTTGGGAGCTTCATCGACGACTGGCGGACCGCTATGAGGTGGGAGTTGCTCGAAATTAGGGCTGCTAGAGCGTAGTATCTCAATCCGCTGTGGTACATTGGCACCAGAAATTCTGATCAAAAGTTAGACCTGTGTTTGGTGCGCCACTTTTTTGAACAAGGCTCTCTCTATCTAATCCGGAACCTCCCAGAGGCTTCGTGATTTCTTTGGACTATAGGGTCCAAACTTCAGTGCTTTAGATGTCAAGGGCTGCGTGCATTTGCATGCATGGCTGGCTGTCTGGATTCACGGACGGACAGATGTTTTGAAGCATTGTTGTTACGTACCCCTCTCCAGAAAAAGCGAGGAAGGGGATTCGGCATGCACAGTGCAGAATCGCAGAACAGATTGGCACTTCGACAAGCAGCATCTACGCGTGTTTGTATATGTAGCAACTGTATATGCATGTGTGTATGGATGTGAGATCTTGATGTCGATGTAGATGTATGTATATAGGTGTGTATGGATGTATGTCTGTTTGTATGCATGCACATGTATGCAGTTGTGGTACATATAGAGCAAGCTACATATATCTATTATAGATATGTGTGTATATATGCACAATATCTTTAATTATGTCTATGTGTGTGTATGTATATA